TATTAGTACGTGTGTTATTATCATACCATAAATGCCTTTTAATTTTACAGATTTAATGCAACCATTTTATTTTTTTCCATCTACATTCTTAAGAAATAAGGCTTGCAAACTAATTGTTTTAAATTCCCCACTTTCCAATTTCAAAATAGAAAGAACAAAATTTCCTAAAAAAACATTCCTCAACCACGTGCCTTCTCAAAATCAAAGGCCAAGATGCAAACTATATAGGCTATAAGATAAATCCAATAAATGTAAATATTCCATAATGGGTGTGGTTTGTATGTAAATATTCTACAATGGGTGTGGTTTGTATAAGGTTACAACCTTAAACGATCCAATTATGGTGGATCTCCAAATTTTATCATGTAATTTTGGTGTAAAAAATTCTTAAGATTATCTGAAAATCTATTTTTATATCAAATTATAAAATTTTAAACTAAAAAAATGGTTAAAATCAAGTAGATTTATAAATATATAAAAATCTTGAAAATGATCGGTCTAGATAATATTTTGCAAGATGCACTATTTTTTAGACTATTTTTTTTTTTTGTTCATACATTTCGATGTCGAGATGATCAATTAGAAGGTTTTTCAACATTAAAACAAGCTTTCTAATGGATTTTCGAGATGCATCTATAATTCTACATTTTAAGGTTCCAATCTTATATAAATCATTTCCTTCTATAATACCATTAATAATTTGTGTGCGCGTGCATGTATGGGTATCAGCTTTATACTATTGAAAGTAAGGCACACCACAAAAACGCACAGGAAAAGGATGTGAAAACCTCAATTTGATCATCTTAACTTCTTAAGATGGACCATTCTTGAAACGCATTATATAAATTGTCTATTTTGAAAATTGTTAATTATTTATAGATCTACTCTATTTTGGATATTTAAATTTCATATTTAGGGGTAACAAAAAAGTTTTATGACATTGCAAGGCCTTCAACATCAAAACTGCATCTTTGATAAAGCTTTGATGATCCTTTTACTTTGATTGTGTAAGGTTGACGCTTGTACTATAGAAAAATCGAATAAGAATGGTTGACCATATATGGGCTTGAAAGCAGTTTACCTAGCCTAACAGGTAAACGGCAGGTTGAACCATTCTAACCGAACAAATAACAGGCCGTTAAAAAAAAAACAAAATAAATCTAGTAAAATATGAAAAATATATTTTAAAAAAGATTAAACAAAACACATCTTTGAAAATTAAATGAAAAAACGGGATTTTAAAGAATTGATTTGTGAATAGGGGTATTTTTGAATTTTTTTTTAAAAAGATGGAAACGTGTCAAAATAAGTATTAATAGTTAAAACAATTTCCAAGCCATATTAAAAACATTAAAATATGTATTATAAACAAAATCCCTTATTTTTAAAATTCTATATATATTTTTTTAAAATTCATGGCCGGTCATCGATGAGATTGCCTGATTGAATCTAGGTTGATCTGATGATCAAGACTATATTTCTATAATTTAATTTTAATATTTTTTATATAAATCTAAATAACATGAAATTTGGATAATCAATGCTTATCATTATTACACACTTAATTAAAATATCAAAAAAATAATTCGTATAAAATAAATTGACAAAAATAACCTAAACCTTTTTAAAGGTATTT